TAAAACAATTGAGCAAATCCGCCAAAATATGAAGGGTCACGTGACCAGCCGATACCAGGGTCTCAATTCAAGATATCAGATTTGACCATTAAAATGGACCATCGATTGACCATGTGGTACGGACGTGTGCAACAAACTAAAAATTGATGTATCAAGGTTGACATTTTCCATTGTCTCTGTCAAGTGAAAGAAAATATTTATAAAAGCAACATTCATAAAAGCATCTAATATACGTTTAGAAAACAATGTTAAATTGGAAGTATCAACATTGAATGTCTACATGTTTATCTAGGAGTTGGAAAGATACTATACTTCACAAGTGTATAATGTTGTTTTCAAATTGAATGCAAACTTCATCACGTCCAGCATCGTGTCGTCGGAACACTCATAGCCTATCGAAGGGAGATGGCTGCGAAACTCATTAGAATAACAATATAACTCATTATCTATGTTGGTCAACGTTTATTCATAAATATGGTCCTTCACCGTCACGTGTGTATTGTATTTTTACCCAACTAACCAATAGGAATGTTTAAGGAAAGTCACCTATCCGTGACTCGAACAATAGGGAAACTGGAAATTGCTATTGGTGGATTTACTAAAAATACAATACACACGTGACGGTGAAAGGACCAGATTTATGAATAAACGTTGACTAACATAGATAATGAGTTATATTGTTATTCTAATGAGTTTCACAGCCATCTCGATAATGGAACACTGGAACACAAAAACGAAGAAATCTTTGAAGAGATATCGCCTACTGTCAATAAATTTTTTGGCAGGAACTATTTTGCGAATAATGAATATCTTGGAAATACTATAATTAATACACTACCTAGATTTGCTATGGAAGCTACTATAAATTAAAATGTATATTTGTGTGATATATTATAGCCTATCTTTATTCTAATAAAATTGGTCATTCCGTGTATGTTATTCACATTAGGAATTTTTTGTTTTTGATCCAGTAGACGCCATGTACGCTCCAGCGTACCTATTTTTTGATTTGGCGAAAGAAGCACGACAAATGACAAATTTCGCACGGTGCCCGTTTGCAACTGCTCTACTTTCATTTGCTCTCATCCGTGAGTCGGCCTCAATGGTTATCACGTGCACCCATCACAATATACGTAATAATGATATTATATATAATCTTCACATACGAAAACCAAAATACCTCCTTTTCAGGGCGCTTATATATAAGCGCCCTGCTCCTTATCAAAGAAATATCCATTGACTTACAACAAGCTCAGCAAAGCGTTGCGGCTATATTTATAGAATATCATTTTAGTCAATTTAGTCGATTCTGATTGGTTAAAAGCCGTGCCGATTAAAGATTAATCGGCACGGATATACGAGCACGCGTGCATTAGACGCAAGATCTCAAAATATAAATAATCAACTTGAAATATTTTCTGAGCTCTTATTTTGCAATGAGCTCTTTAAGTTTCTTTAAATATTAAAGATAAAGAAGAAATAAAAATTATTCACAGTTTCCACAGGTATGAATTGAAAATTAGTATAGGTAGTCCATGGGGCCGAGTAAAATTAAGGTTTAATTTCACCTTAATTTTACGAGGAACTATGCGATCACTTGTTAATTAATTAATCATCGAGGGCAAAATTTATTCGTAAGTAAATTGTGAACTTGTCAAGTTCTTGAACCTCGTATGTCTCCATGCATGTCTTCGCCGATCTTCCTTAATTAATGCTGCCCATTTCATAAATACTCATATTTCAAGTTCAACCCATAAATTTGTACTTTTTCTAGTGGTCGAGTTTTCACTAGAAGTTTTTAATTCTTCAATAACATCATTGTCCCCAACAACAAAGAGGGAAGCCATTGTTTTTATTGCTATTTAAAACAAGAAACGTCCCGCGCTTCTTGCGGTCAGGTCGCGTAGCTCAGTTGGCAGAACATTGGGCTTGTATTCCAAAGGTCGTAGGTTCGATTCCCACCGTGGCCAGGCATATTTTTCAAGCTTGTTCGGTGTGGACAGGGGCGAAACTTGAGGGTGGGTATGGGGGGGGATATGGGTGGGTATGGGGGGGGGTACCCCACCCCCCAAAAAAATACGAATCATCCCGATTGGCAGGGCAATTTAAATGATAGAATGTGGAGTTATTAAGTAACTTATTACAGCTAGCAAACAATAAGAAGTTCGTATGCATGTACATTGGCATCGGCAGTTCAATTATACGCGTAGCTTAGTGATGTATTGTACTGGCGCTGTAGGCTGCAGGGCATCATTGGTTTTGGCAGGGCAATTCTGCCAGACAGCCCTAATTAAAAGGGTCTAGTTTCGCCCCTGGGTGTGGATATACACTCAGAGTAACATCACAAACATCATATCATCCATATTTTAGAATTGCAGTAAACACCCATTGAGTTCCAGCCTTTTTAGTTATCTCCATCCATCCGTCCGTTCATCTGTCTATATAACGTAGAGGCTAGGTAAATTTTTGTGAGTTGTGAAGCAGAATCCTCGATCAGTTTGTGAGTTTATTACAGCGAAGTATTTTGAAAAGAATAAGTCGATAAGCTTTTCTGTATTTTACATGTCTCCTTCCATAGATGAAGGCATTCACGATCGAATTTAGTCCATAAAATTCATAGTGAAAAACTACGAACCACATCTGTTGACATGACTGACTACAGGAAGAGTATATCACCGGCCCAAACACAGCTGGAGTGAGGACACAGAAAACCAATACAGCCACAACAATAGAAAATGTCTTAACTCCTTTAAGAGCGTGAAAAAATCTACGTACAGCCGACATTTTGTTTGCAGGTTCTCCAGTGGAAGTTGTAACGGGTACAGCTGTTTCAGTCAGGACACGTTTTCGTCGTTTCTCCGCAACAATTAAAATCCGGAAATTAAGAATTACTATTAAAATAAGTGGTAAGTAGCCAACAAAACTACTGATAAAATAATGATGTATATAAGCCCTTTTCATGTGAAATCATATAATCTGAAATCATGTCAAACCTTTTCATGTGAAATCATATAATCTGAAATCATGTCAAACCTTTTCATGTGAAATCATATAATCTGAAATCATGTCAAACCTTTTCATGTGAAATCATATAATCTGAAATCTTTTAATCTGAAATCATATCTATAACTAAAAAACAGCAAAACAATGAAAAGACAGCACGTATAGTCAGCCAAATTCCTGAAATAGCTAGGAAAACTCGTCGTTTGGTCACAACCAGTGGATACTTCAGAGGTTTTACAATATATATATATACCGATCAACCGTAATGGCGAGAAGTGTAGCCACTAAAGCGAACAGCAATGACCAGATGGTAGAACGACTTAACTTACAAAACAGATCCTGATCACTATCAATGTTTAATGTAGTCTGTATAAACTCAATAATCCATATTGGATAAAATGTTAAACACACGAGAATATCTGCCAGTGCCAAGTTTCCTACCAAATAAGATGTTGCTGTCTTTTCTTTGCCAAAGAAAATTATATACATTATAACTGTGATATTTCCCAAAACTGCAATAATCATTGCGATGAATTTGAATACAATTGATGGAAGAAGAATCTCTCTAGGTACTGTGGAGAAGTGCGTTGCGTTATTTGCCATGCATGGTTGTCTTTTTATGAACATAAAGACAACACTGTCAGTTTAAAGTTTGAAATATATATACCACTAGTCTTTTGAGAACGACGAAAATGAAAAACACTTCAGAGAATAAAATATGCATGCTGAGTTTGTATGACGGTCATTATTACGCATTACCTATACAATCTCCGTTTTGATCGGAGATTGTGTAGGTAATCCGTAATATTGACCGTAGATATAATTCTTGATATTGTGTTATTATGGGCATTCAAAGTAGAATTTGCATAAACCTCCTTCGCAGGCTCTCTGGGGAATCGGGTGGAACGGAAAAATATCACTAGAATTTTTTTCGAACTACCCATTCGCAGGCTAAAACCCATGGAGATGCCTGCGGAGGGGGGTTCATTTGCATATACGCCTGAATGAAAATAATAATATTGCATGTGATTAATGCGAAAGAATAATTAAATCAATAAATTTGTCTTGAATCGACTTGAATTGTGTTAATACTTCACTACATATTACTGAAAGGTTTTGTATATAGTACAAAATATAGGGATGAAACATATTCACAATCATGGTGAAAAATATCAAGTTTTAATCGTTGGATATATGAAGTACGTTATTTTATGTCAACATGCTTTGAGTCTGTTTATACAATTTAATTAGACTTGATTTGATACTGTTGGATATGCCGAATTTAATTAATAGAAGTTGACATTAAACACGATTTGACGTGAAAACTTACGATATTTTGTTTCTGTAAATAGAAAAAGTGATTTTGGACACATATTGACGTAATCGTTCAATACGCAAGCAATATTTAAGAATTCTTTTTACCAGGGAAAACTACATATGCATATATATATAGATTATATTTTCTGTCTTTGAACATAGCGATGTTTAATGAAGTGTTCTTCGCTTAACCTTTTTTCATCATCAATCGACCCGCGCAAATTCCCCTTTTAATGATGCGTAATTGTTTGATATTGTTTAAACATTAATAACAAGACGTGTTGCACCTGTTTCTGACTTTTGTTAAATTTACAAATTTAATTTTTCATACTTAGTTAAACAGTTACATTTCACTGTTCATAGCGATTGTAGTGCATAAACAAGCGTACGGGAAATTCGGTTGTGATACGAACAAAAACCACGAACTATCGGGACTCGACGTTCGCATGTGTAGCTTATAGATTGTCTGATTTGCTATAATTAATATATGGACTTTCCCTTTGCCATTGATTTTAGTTCTTTAAATTTCTGGTAGAGGAATTACAGCATAGCATTGGTGTCATATGTCAATGTGCATTTTGGATCTTCGTAGTTGGTGCAGGTTATCTCTTCATTCACCCATACTACGACAGAGCCATGTCAGCTGGATACAACTCTAGTAGTAGTATACATAACCTCAACTACCCATCTTCAAGGTTTATCATTGGAGTCATTATTACGAGTTGTGTATGTCTTTTACTTGGTATTTTTGGCAATGTCGGAGTTATCATATATAACATCTTCATGAACCACACGAAAACTCCAACCACATATTTTGTTACCAACTTAGCTGTAAGTGATATAATAGTCTGTTGTTCATTCTTCCCAACATGGATCGTGAAATCGTCCCAGATCCTGGGCGGCCGGGAAGTGGGAAGCGCAAATATGATATGCAAGATCAGTGTCTCAATATCTGGGACCAGCGTGGCGTTATCTGTTGCAAATCTTTTGGCCATCACCATTGATCGTTTTATCTTCATAAGTCGGCCTTTAAAATATCCTGTCATAATGACGTGGGAAAAGACTTACTTCATGTTGTCTGTAGTTTGGGTTTTATGTAGTATTGATGCTGGTATTCTATTCTTTCAAAATCAGGATGAAACAGATCTAATCTATTGCAGAACAAACTCTCAAACTATACTGGCAATTGACCTTTTCACTTTCTATATTCCTGTACTGATATTAATTTACTTGAATTATAAAATCTTCAAAGTGGCAAGAAGACAAGGACGTCAAGTAACAAGTCAGCCAGTGCGTTTCGCTTCCATTAATTCCAACAGGTTGTCATCTGGTTTGAGTTTTACTCGAGCAACGATTCGACAACTAAGACTGATTAAAACCTTTCTAGTTTTACTAGGGATGTTTTTGCTTTGTTTCATTCCTTACGCAGTGGTGAAAACGATGGACATATTTCATTGTACCGGTGGACATTGTGTACCAACTTCTGTGTACGTTTGCTCTGTACTACTTGTGGGAGTTAATTCAGTATGTAATCCTTTCATTTATGGTATCAGGCTAAAGGAATACAGAAACGCATTACGCAATTGCATCTCCAAGATATACTCTGCATGTACATAAGTCATGCATGTATATACATATAGCTTCATTTAAACACAATGTCAAAAGTATAGACAATGTATACAAGCATGCAAATTATATTGTACAGTAGTTGAACCGAAGATTACTACTACAATGATCTCTAGTAGTCTAGAGCAGCGCGCTAGCGCCACGAATATGAAGTATTGAGCTCTACTACTACTAAATCTTATTATAGTCGCTTGAGTTTAGCGCGACAGAAAGAGATTTATACACGCCATTTACGTGGTCTATGATCTATACAAAACAAAGCATCTCATTGGTCCAGATGCTTCTGAAAAAGCTGCGATTGGCTATTACAGTTATATAAGAAATAGACTGCTCGAAGTCTGCCTCTCAAAGGGGATTTTATTCGTGTTGCGCGAAAATGCGGGCCGTGGAAATTTTAAGGCGGGCGCGTCTGTCCTCTAATAGATAGTAGGGAGCTTTAGATTTGACTACGAGTACGACTACGAGTACGAGATTTGATCGCGTGCGGGGAAATTACCGTAGTCGTTTTCGTTTCCATTCAAATGTTGCTTTTATAACAGTAAACCAACAACTAGAGAAAAAGTTTCATAAAGTAAATCTCCTGCCGACTAAAATCCCCTACAAAACGTGTAAATAAGTCATAACATTAAAAACAGACCAGATATTTAGCACTAATATATTATTTGCGCCGGATAAACGCTATATAAATGCTACAAATTATTTTTGGAAAACAAAAAAAAGTCAACTTTCTTTGTTTTTTTTGAAAAGTCGTCATAAGGACTACGAGGTTTCTCCACAATTTCGTACTCAGATGGGTGACGGCTACGACTTTTTAGCGTCAGTACGGGATGGCGTAAGCATACAGCATGCGTTTAGCTTGACGAATCTCGTACTCGTAGTCGTACTCGTAGTCAAATCTAAAGCTCCCTAATATACCTATCGACCAATGAAAAAGCAGAATAAACTCAAAATATAATATATTTGGTTATTAATAACAAACCTTGCATGTAGGCCACGCTTGTCTATTGTATGTTACTAAATCTAATATTAATAAATCATTCACAATATGGTTAAAGCCCATGTCACTTAATTTGTGGTTCACTTATGTCCAAAGCATTTGAGAAAGTGAACCACACGTCCTTATAATTCAGAAATTAACAACCAGCTGTGGCATCTCTGATAGCCTTCATTGGTTCGACTCATATTTGTCACAAAGAAACTGAACAAGGTGTTACTATCTTAGGAGCAACACCATCGATCAATATTAGGTCCGGCCTATACCCGGTACGATTCGTTCCGCCCACGCTTAAGATGTGGTAAATCTAGTACGCGGATGTGACAAAAAACACACCTTAAATTCGCAGTGTCAGCAACACGGGTAAAAGATATGGATTCTTTCTGTCAACAAAGAAGGATACAGGTGAAAAACAAATCTAAACCGGCAACAAATCCAAAAGAAAAGCATAAGCAACTGGCTTTTTGTCACGTCCGCGCACTAGATTTGGCTTATCTTAAGGTGCCCCTGTGACGAAAAAATCATCTCTCCAATTTAGATCTTAGTTAAACATTACCTCGAAATATGGTTAAACATTACCTCGAAACATTACGCCGATATTATTTGGGATGGTTGTACAGAAACCGATAGTGATCTTCTTGAAAAATTGCAGATCGATGCGGCTCGATTAGTTACGGGTGCTATAAAAGGAACGAGTCGTGAAAGTCTACTTAAGGAAACAGCTTGGGTTAGGCTCAGATCCAGACGCTCTGATCATAAGCTTTTTATGATGTTCAAAATTTTGAATAATTTAGCACCACCATACCTACTTGAATTGCGTCCTGAACACATACGCACGAAATCAGCTTATACGCTACGGACTCATGATGACCTTTGTGTTCCATTTGCTAGGACAGAACGTCTTCAAAAATCTTTTGCCATTTCTTCAATTAAACTTTGGAATAGCTTGCCATTAAACGTTCGAACTTCTGAATCTTTACCTCATTTTAAAACCAATCTCAAAATTTGGCGTGACGATCCAATTCCAAATACATTGTTCTACATTGGTAATCGCTACGCCTCCATACTTCATACCCGTTTTCGCCTGTTTCATTGTACCTTAAATCATTATTTGTTCTTAATAAATTGCGAGCCATCGCCATTATGTTCTTGTGGTTCAACCAGTGAGACTGTCAGTCATTTCTTCTTTGACTGTGGCCGATATGCTGCTCATCGCGCTGTTCGTTTTGCTTCCGCTGCACATTTACTTGGTTCCAAATGGTTAAATTCAACAAGCAAAATGCGTTTATCGTGGTTTTTGAACGGTCATCCCGACGTTTCGCAACATACAAATGCTAATCTTTTTCTAATCGTTCAAAACTTTATTGTGAACACTAAACGCTTTTGTTAAAATCAAGAACACTTTTCAGCCATGCCTTGCAGTAATGTTCATCTTGTAAGATAGAAGACGCTGTTAATTCCGCAGGTGCATGGCTACAGGGCCGCCGAGAGCTTGGCGGGGGCCCGGGGCAAAAATTTTTTTAGGGGCCCCTATTGCAAAAAAATTTTCCGGAAAAAAATTTTTCGGAGAATAATTTCTTTTCAGGTAAAACATTTTTCCGGACAAATACGTTGTAGTTGCTTTCGTGGGACTTTTCCGCAATTTTCCATACCAAATTTCGGTACTTTGCCCCCAAAACACAAATATTTCGGCCCGAAACAGAAATATTTCGCCCGAAAAAATGACTTGGGCCCAACATTAAATTTCTTGGGGCCCCAAGAGCCTCGGGGCCCGGGACAATTTGCCCCCCCCCCCTCGGCGGCCCTGCATGGCTATGTGTGTGTAAAGATATATTTTATTCTTATTCTCATACGTTTCGTTGCCACTCTATATTTATATATATTTATTAATTTCAATGCAAACTACGTATTTATTAATGTCAGGCAAGCTTTCCCTAGATAAGCCTACGGCTTTTCGAAAAATTGCCATTTCTTTTTTTTTGAAATTAAATATTGTTTACATGGAAATAAGCTAGCACGGCGTTCTTAGGCCCGGTTTAGACGCCGTGCTTTTCATGAGCCGAACTTAATACAATGAATTAAGCACATGAGAAGCACGGCGTCTAAATCAATTAAGCACTGCACTTAATATTAAGCACGGCTAAATTAATAAGTTCGCCTGGTTTAGGCGTGCTACACGGCTGAAGCACATGTTGATTTATACTGCCGTGCTTTACATGAGCCGTACCAAATGCATAAATTATGATAAAATAGAACATTTATAGTACGCGTGCGTTGATTGGTCGAGAAGCGTGTTTCTACGCGGGAAATTTCCCGCCTAAACTTACAATCGTAAACAAAACAATTTTAATGCAAATTAAGAATTGTTTAATACAGTCAAAATACAAAAACCTTCCCACTTCCGCTTTTGGCTTGTTTTGTATTTCTGTACTTTGTTCTATTTTTTTCTGTAGTGATTTAATACCGCTTTATCGGCAAATATCGCGGTAGAATTTCCCTTTCTTTTCTTTATATACGTCAATTTGTAGCAAAGGATACACCTTTCGTTAGACTCTTTGCATAAAAGTTGCGAAATTAGGCTTATAGCGATATTTGCTGATAAAGGCAAAAAGGGTTTCTTGCAGTAAATTGATGGAGCAAAGGTCGGCATTATTAACGCAATGAGAATTTGTAAATATATCGAGTCTACTACAAATCTTTTTTTAGTTATATTTTATAACTATATATAAAGCATTTATTATGTATGACCCATACAGTTATAGAAACACTTGTAGTAGTTTGGGAGAACTCGAATAACGTGGAAAAACTCGCCCTAAGCCTATATAGGTCTCGTTTTCCCACACATTATATCCAGGCATTATGCTATGTTTGTAGTAATAAGGCTTTTCAAAAAGCAATTGAAATTTTTAATAACCACAAACCTGTAGACGCTCAGAAATGCCAAGATTGTATGTGATAAACCCTTTTTTCTTATTATGAATTGTCACTCGCCCCAGGTTTCGAAGTGAAGCAGCGCAAATTATTAAGTACGGCTCATGAAAAGCACGCCTGTCTAAATCAAAATTGGAAGTACGCCTATTTTACTCGAGTAAAATATGAATTAAGTTCGGCTCATGAAAAGCACGGCGTCTAAACCGGGCCTTAGTTTTTCAATATCTTGTTTCGTTCTCAAGATATTCAGCTTTTTAAAACATGCAAATTAGGATTAGGACCATTAGGTCCAAAGTGACGTCATTTACTCCAGAATATTAAATCAGATTTAGAAAACGATGAATATCTTTCTTCGTGATGGGTAAAATTCACTCAATCTTTGCAGCACTATAGCTATGTGGTACATACACATTTCAATGTGTACATACATTGTTTCCATGGAAAATCAACAGTACAAAAAATAACTACTTCACTAAAAAATGTTAATTGTGTTAATACGACCATTCAAATGAAGTAATGTTTAACTATAAGATCTGAATTGTGGAGATGATTTTTTCGTCACAGAGGCACTGTAAGTTCTCTAATTACATTAACGCTCGTTTTTCATCAGAATGGCAAAGGCATGTATAACTACTACCTTCCCGAAGCATTCCCGAACATTTCAGACTGAAAAACGTATCGCTGGCTCAATTCAGGAGGTTATTGACGCTGTTAAAAATATTTATAATGTGCACGATGCAAGAACGTGGAATCAGTCTGCCTTTAATAGTGTACTGTTACTTAGTACATTTTTATAGTCGTAAAATTGTTATTTTTCAGATTTAAGGGCCTACACGGTTACAGTAATTGGTGTTAAACTGTTGTGGTATGCCTGCCTTTCTCTGTGTTGTTGTTTTTATACTGATGTACAGTACATGTGTTTTAGATTTATAAGTTAAAATTGATTGTGTTTATATTGGCAAATTAAATAAATATATAAATTGTTATTCAAAAGAATGAATAATGAATTCAACATTTATACATTTATAATTAAATTAAACTTAAAAAACTCATTAATACTTCATGAAGAAAATTCAAAAGAAATGAATGTTTAATCAATATTTGTAAATCAGATAAAGATTTGTCCTGATTTACATAAACTTCAGCTTTGATTTTCTCTGCTTTAATAGACAATGAACTCATAAGATGGGTCGTTTTTTAAGTATGTTAAAACATTTGCATCCAATCTTTATCTGATATATTCATATACAAACTCTCACCTTCGGCTCAAGTTTGTATATCAGGTAAAGATCGGCTGCTCATGTTTTAACCAGTACATATAGCTATGCACCATAAATCCATAATCTGTATGCACCCATTTCTACAAGTGACAGATAAAATAGTTATAATAAAACACTTTTATTTTTAAATTGTATTCGGGCACAATCTCAGACAAGCCAATAAATTTTGTTCTGGTTGCAGTTAATTAAACACTATGTCTATGGATCCGCTGTATTGAAATACACCCTTTCCATAATATTACATCACTAATCACTCCTTGGCATGGGAGCCTTGGTCTCACAAATCATGAGCAATCAGCCTTTCATCTTGATTCATACGAGCATGCAAGGCTCCCAACCCTAAAGATTGAAGTATTGCACAATTTTTGGAGAGCAGTTTGAACAGTGTCATTCAAAGATGTGTATTTGTGTAGGTGAGAGTGTGAGACATTGCAGACCAAGACATGATGTACTACAGTATATGCATGGGAATTGTGAAGATCACATTTTATTGAATTGTTGTCACATATACCAGTATAACATAAAGACTTGTTAAGAACATTAATATAGCAATAGATGAACCAGTAAATATATGTTTGTATGAAATAAGACCATACCATGCCATAATTAGAGAAACAGTCAATAGAGGTATTAAAAATCGGCTAAGGTCTAAGTCTTCCTCGTGTGGTTCATTTGGGGTAGGTGGGATTTGCTCAGGAGGATCAGTGATCACACAGTGTACAACAGTATTAGGTAGTACTCCATATCTTGTGAGTGGATCATTATCATTTCTTAGCAGCTGTCCTGCATATACAAACCTTACTCTTCTTCCTGCATTTAGTTCATTGTTGAAAGCCAATCTGTGAAAATAAATAGAAAACATTATTTAATATTATAAAACAATTCAATTTAAAAAAATATTTTTGGCTCACTCAAATCTTTCGCTATTGCTCCACATCATATTTGCTCCAAATAAAAGTACAACGGTATCTCTCATTCCCATGAGAAAATTTATAATTTTACTAGCTAGGGGGGGGGGGAGGTCATCAGAGGCTGGAGATATCATTTTTCCCCCTGAAAATGTCAAAAATTTTCCAGACATATCATAATTTTACCCAAAAATAACAACATTTTTCAGGACATACCAAAATACAAAAAGAAATTCAATCATAAATCAAAGGCCATTAATTGGGCAAAAAATGCAATCTGAACAACATTTTTCACGCAGGTAAAGGGCACTTTGCTGCTCGTTTGACATATGATTGCTGAATTACCTTTTCAATTCTATTACTGTTATATTCTTTGAAACATTAAATGTTTGTATATTTTCATTATGTTTAACTTTAACCACCATTGTCTCATCTTGTCCATCTGTTGATTGATCCTGTCTTGAGTCCGGACCATTTACCTGACGTCTTCTTATCTTATCTCCCCTTGTTTCCTCACTCTGTGGAGTCTGTTCCATAACATCTTCCAAATCCCTACCGTAGGGGAGATTTGATGTTTCTTCTCTTACTGTAGTTGCTGTGGAACTATCACTTGCATTTGTTTCAGATCGACTTCCTGCATTGCTATCCCTTGATTGACTTCCATCAACATTTTCATTGTTTGTAGGCCTATCAATATTTTGATTAGTTATAGACCCATCAACATTATTAATTGGTCTAAGATGTACACTTGTTCCTTCAGAAAAGAATGTGTAAAAAACAGCTATTACAATCAATAAAATTGTCACAATAAAAGCTAACAAAACTTCGTTTGATATTCCTTCAACCAAGTCCATAATTATAAAATCTCCTTTATCATTCTAAGTCTTCTTTATAACTTCCTTAATCAAAACTTTTTAAAGGTCGCTAGAGGGAACAATTAATAACAACACGTTTGTTATTTTATTTTGTTAATACTTTCTTTTCTCCAGAATACTTTCTTTGTTACCGTGCTTCCGCTTGACAAGTTGTAATCATTTTCCCATCCAAGTTTCTTAAGATTTAAATTCGTCCACGATTCTTAAGGTTTTCACGTCAAGGATCAGGGCAAATTTTATTCTTGGCACAAATTGGTAAGAGTGGAGATATTTTTGATTTTGCAAATTGGAAATAAGGAGCAAAAATGGGTTTGTTAAGTTTTCAAACATTTGAAAAATATTTTGAAATTCCTTCAAGGAATATGGAAGTACTGCGTACTGAAGGACAGTGGCAAGGAAGGCGAATATATAAAAAACAACTAGATATTGGTACCTGCATAAAAAATTTTATCGAAGAGAAGCACTTCGAAGAAACGAAATTATCAAGTAGAGGATACAGAAAATTTTAACAAAGTATGAAGTTCCTTTCTGCATTCTTAAAACTTACTTTATTTTTTAATATGGAAATGAAAATTTGCACAATATGTTGTTACAATTTCATTTCCGGTCAGGCGTTGTTCAGACAAATCTCAGAACGGTGTATCTTCGATAATATGTTGTTTAAAATTCATAAAAGCCAAAATGTAATTTGGTTATTTTAGATCATCCCAACGGACCCCAGGTGATGTACTGCATGGCATCCATGGGGTAACTCTCATTGATGAGATCTACCCTGGACACTCCCAATGCCATATACACCTGTAACCACATCAAGGATGGTTGGCCATGGGCAAATAAATTGTACAGAAATCTTTCAATGCTGTTTACTGAAGGGCTATTGGGAGGCCCAATAGTTTAGTGGTTAACGTAGTAGGCATAAAAATGACTAAAATAGTCTAAAATTCAATATAACTTCATTGTGTTACCGTGGAAATAATCTACCGACTGTTTTTGTATAGCCATAGGTGTTAATTTAAACTATGTGATGCTCATGCATCTCTGATTTGCAGTGGCGTAGTGACATACAAGTCTTTATAATAGGGATTATAAAGACTTTATAAATATGTCACTACACCACTGCGAATCAGCGAGATATATTGAGCAATGCATGGTTATGCACCTATGGAAAAAAACAGTTGGTAGAATATTTTCATGGTAACACAATGAAATTTTATTAAATTTTAAACTATTTTAGTCATTTTTGTATGCCTACTACCACTAACTATTGGGCCTAGCTCCTATGATACTATATTCAAATTATTAAGTCATATTATTATTATTAAATTACATGTGTTATAATTAATTCATAAATTACAGAATGAATGTGGATCATGAAATAAAGTTGCTTGTTCAAGAAATTAAGAGACTTGGATCACCTAATGCTGATGGAAATATCTCAGTGAAATTTGGAATTTTATTTGCAGATGATCGATGTGCCAATCTATTTGAAGGTATATATAAAAATTTATCACATATGTGCCTTTATCAGGGCAATAACAGGGTGACAAAAATGATATGTCACTGATATCGTTTTTTGGGACTGATATCTATATGTATAAGGTTATCATATGAGGGCCGTCAAAGTGATATCAGATTTATCGCTTGAAGGACGGTATCATAAATATCACAAGTGAGTGCAGCAAACGAGGGACATTTATGATATAGTGGTCAAAGCGATAAAACTGTTATCACCTCACCCCGATTATGATAACCTGTTTATACATACTTGTGCTTTTATCATAGTCAGAATTTATTTTAAAAAATAATCATTGCCCCCACTTAACAGATAAAGACACTGCAAGTATGTGATAAATATATCTATAACAAGGGAGAAGTCCGGACTGTAGGAAATTAGTCTAGTTCTTTTTTCGTTTGTAGATATGGCTCAGTCCATTTTATACAAAGAAAAAAGCATTTTGGGGGTACCTCTACTAAGCAGCCACAAATCCAAGCACAGAGGGTGGCCGGTTAATTAATAGAGGGTTGACTGTATTTAACCATTATTTTTTTGTTTTAGCCCTTTATTTTTCAGTCCATTTTATACAAAGAAAAAAGCATTTTGGGGGTACCGGTCTACTAAGCAGCCACAAATCCAAGCACAGAGGGTGGCCAGTTAATTAATAGAGGGTTGACTGTATTTAACCATTATTTTTTTGTTTTAGCCCTTGTTGGAACACTGAAGGCTGCAAAGAAAAGGAAAATTGTGCAATATACAGGAGAAATTCTACTGCAAGGAGTTCACAATGATGTAGATGTTGTATTACTGGTTGATGATGCCTGAACAATAAGAACACTATGCATCTAAATTAATGTATCAGAAATATTAAGATCTAATGAAGAAATTTTATTTTGTTACAACTAATTATAGAATTTGATAATTAAAGAGTGGCCAATTATTGACTGGGTCATGGTGAGCTTGTCCTTTACATCTAGCTTTCACGCATAAAATGAAAGAGTTGTCGAAACGATGATTGAAGAATCATGAAAAATGGGCTATTACATTTAACCCCCCCCCCCCGTCGAGGACCTCATTTTCCAAGGGGGGAAATTAGTCATTTTTTCCAGAGGGGTAATTGGGGAAAATGGAAGAAAAATGCTATTTCCAGAGGGGTTAAAAAGCAAAAATGCACTTCCAGAGGGGGGTTCAAGTCTCTGAAGTCTCTTCCAGAGGGGTCAATCACACAGATTTTTTTTCATTCCAGAGGGGTAAAAATGCCCAAAAGCAGAGGTCTTCGACAGGGGGGGTTTCGGTTTTTAAATGTAATAGCCCAATGCACGGAATTTATGACGAATTTATGATCAAATCACAAATCTCTGTGGGCTCATGCGAACACGTTCTTCGATTTTCGGCTTATTAAACTCCTATATTGTTAAAAACTTGCAGCATTAGAAAGCTTACAAAAAACTACATATAAGACATTTAAACAGTTACCTTGACTTTTGAAACGGTGTTCGAATTATTGCTGTTAACGTTCCAAAGTGTGAAAAATAGGTCAAAACGCGCACAAATCCTGGGCACTAGTGTGAAAACACGTTTTCAAAAGCTCACAATCTCGTTCCCCGAGCCTGCGATCCTCGGAAGGAACGCGAGGCTCTGGGATAATCCGTTTCAGGGAGGAATCTGATTGGCCGATGAAATGGAATGCGTAGTTCAATCTTAGCAAGGATTCCTGGCTTCCGGCAACGGATTATCCCAGAGCCTCGCGTTCCTTCCCGAGGATCGCAGGCTCGGGGAACGAGATTGAAAAGCTCATAATTCAAAACTTTGTAAGCTTTCTATTGCTGCAAGTTATTTTTTTCTATAAATGAACCTGAAATTTCACGTTTTTAACAATATAGGAGTTTAGTATTTTTGCACAAGTGAACATAACAAATCCTACAAGGTGATTGGTCAAATTTGACGTATTAATCTGTTATATTCACCTATAGGTGAATATAACAAAATCGAAATTTTCAAAATGGCGACTAGCTGTTTTGTTGAAGTTAGTGATAAAGAAATAAGCGTAATTAAAATGAATTCAGACCAGAAAAACACAAAAAAACTTGTGCAAAAATACTAAAACAATTATTCGCCTCAGGCTCGGTGATTATCGGGGAATATTCACCTCGACTTCGTCTCGGCGAATATTCCCCGACAATCACCTCGCCTTCGGCGAATTGTTAATTAATAGGAAAATCGATTTGAAGAAAAATGTGTTGGCAGGAGCCCATAAACCTAAGTGTTCCATTTGGAAGTATTTTCAGACAACACTCAAGACAACATTTACCCTGTTTCTTTTCTTAATAACTTAGACAAAATCTGAAACCTGGAGCGAAGATCATTAATCATACTGTCATGATTATCTAGACTCTCAACTTGTATACGTATCCGTGGATGCTGACTGACATACTCATCAAACCTCGTGTACACCACATTGAGATATTTTAGGCTGTTTGTTGAGAATCTATTGAGATCAAAGTTCGTAGAAAACCATTGCGAGTTGCTCTGAAAGCTAAATGTCTCTTCAACGACATCCAAAAGTTGGTCAAAAACATTTGGTACGGGAAGATCCTCAGTTAACTGAAAACGAGAAAAGGAGCAACAGCGTAAATTATGAGTGATTTACATCCCGTATATCGAGGACGAGGCGCGTCTGCACTTACTAGCGGTGTGCATCGGATCGGACGTTTATAATCCGACAATACACCCTTCCGGAAAGTACGTCACTTTGGCTATAGAGCCTCGTTTTCGTGTATCTGACATTATAGTTAAAGGCCGCGTCTCAATCACGAAAACGAGGCTCTATAGCCAAGGTGACGTACTTTCCAGAAGCGTGTATTGGCTAATGTTTAAAATCCGATCCAAAATTGTCTAATCCGAATCCAATCAGAGTTTTGATAAAGAATTCCGATCCGAAGAATCCTTTAATAAAATAAATTTCTCATTCAAGTGGAAATATTTAACCAAATAAATATAAAAGCAAGAAATACATGTCAAGAAGCTGACAAAATGACGTCCGATTGAACTATCAAACGAATAATGCAGCGACAACCGCGTTGTCGTGGATAATTAATTCATTTTATTTCGAATATCGAAGTCCGATCCGACCACGAAACAACTTTATCAATCCGATCCAATACGAATATTTTTGTTCCGAAATCCGCACGAATCGATCGGATTTGCACACCTCTAGCGCACTTACAGATTTGTGCATTATCCCTACATTTGTAAAATCATAATTAATAAGGCTACAAACAAATCACGACGCGGTAGTTAGGTCACATGTGCACACTTGTAACTCGCACTAAAAATCAGAAAGTCATGTTAGAGGGATGTTTATGAAAGTTATCAATACTAATTCAGATTTCAAATGCATGCTAATGAAGCGTGAGATTATCCCCATGGGCAGTGAATACTAATAAAGTAAACAAATAAATTCATTTTACATTTGTAAATGCCCATGAAGATCAGCTGCTCATATTTTAACTAGTACATAAAAATATTGTTAGCAGAGTATGATGCCGGTAAAATTACCTTGAAAATGATCTGAGGAATGTCCAAATTATCTGCAGAGCAGCTCATTAACATAAACAGCGTCACAAGATAACGTATTATGATAATAACATTTTGCTGAACATTGGTCAGACCCATGATGTTGTCTAGAGCACACAGGATGTCACTTGTCATAATTTGACTCTTGTTTCTTAAATGTCGTAAGGTGTCCACGAAGTATCTCAATTTAATCTATAGAAAGAATATTAACATGCTACAATATAACATCGTACTAAGCTTAATGTCCATATCAACTCCTAGCTAACTAACATTTATGAAAAATGAGCGGCTCAGGAAACTGTTGTCGACGTCTGCAGAGGTTTTGGCCTACCTAATTTGGTGACAATCCTAATCAAAATGGCCAGACAATGGTCACTAACAGGCAGACCGGTAATTTTGGCGGAGTAATTTGGTACAGTAATTTGGGCGGGAAAAGCTTAACGTTGTCTCCAGGGCGCTTATATATAAGCGCCTCGGTTGTCTCATGAGAGGAATTTACCCTGCCATGATAATCATGTTATATGAAGATCCTATAGTTAATATTTGTATGTCAATTTTTTTAAATCAGATGCAACGATGATACGAAGTATATCCAGAAGCGGTAAAGTTAACGTATGTCGAATATAGAATGTGAGAAATGGAAACCGAATCATATAATTCGTCCAGGACATGCAACGGGGTTTTATAAAACCCTTAATTACCAATTTCTCAAGTAAAATTTTCAAAAACATTAAAAATACATCTCAGTCTATAAACGTTAAACTTAATATACAAGCATAAACATAATTATGGGTGGCGGTGGGAATTGAGCAAGATTGTCCAAATATTATCCAAACCTTGTTAGTATCGTCAAACTGTGTTCCACCTCCATGATACCACAGCAGAATTGTTAAACATGGTTCTACAAACTTAAACGTAAATTAAACAGGATCGATGTGCGGTCCAAACGTGTAATTTTCGCAGTGGTAGAAACCAGTTTTGCAATATACCTGTGTACTTGCAAAAAGGACAACCCAATAACATCTTTGCAATTGATCCGGGAATCCTTGTAAAATCAACCAGATATAGTAAGGCTGATATCTATGGCAAACAATAAATTCCATTAATCTTAGAAGTCAAAATAAAGGTATCTCTTGCGTGTATTTTTCATCTGCAACGTATACAGTAGTTGCAGAATTTGCTCCCATGCATAATGGAAAAACTTGTAAACTTCAAGTGCCCATGCAGTTATCTATTTTTCTGGTTGACGATAGAAAAAGTCACTAAACATTAATTACTAATTATGTAAAAAAATACGTGTTGTATTCACTCCTGAGAATAATTGTAACCATTCTGATGCTTGCATGATTACATGATCAAGAATTATTGGATAAGGCTGAGCAGGGTATCAGAATTATTCAGACCGAGATCAGCGTTATCTGCCGAAGCGTAAGCCGAATTCAATAAATCTTTTATTATTCATTCTGTGACAAAAACAATCAAGTCAGCCATGCGAAAACTAATCAAAACAGACAAAAACTCATCAATTTCCAATTTCATTTAACACAAACAAAATAATTTTACAAAAATTTCCCGCTCTTTTCCAATCCATGCAAAATACCGCTGCAAAAATACGCGGGCACCTACATGCAGATACGATATTTATTTGTCATGTTCACATGCAGATACGAGATTTATTTGTCATGGTCATGTCTGTACCGAGATACAGAAAATTATCTGTAGGCTTTCAACCAATAAGAATACGAGAAAATAGTACAATGAATAATAATAACGGCTTATCAGCCATGTCAATATTCAATGTTGTGAACTGGGAAGTATTAAAGTTTTAATAATTTTTTCTTCGTACTCTCTAATGATTTTCATCTTCAACCATTCTATTTTAATTTTGTTATTCACTCTTTCATTATTTGTTTCTTCCCGTATTTAGTGTGGGTGTAAATAAAATCTCTGAGTAAAGGTACTATTGCCTGGTACGTAAATTACGTTCTCCGTGTGTCACAACGAAGAATTAGAAAATTACGTATATACTACATTAGTTAATTAAAGGAAGTACAATACCCTGGTGAAGTTATTCTCCCACACATTTCATTTATACAATCTTCAACCCTTTTGGCGTGATGAAGAAAACTGTTAGCTGGCATATCTGTATAAAAATATTTTTAGTAGCTATATACACTGCATTTAAAACATTTGGGAATGCAATTGACTTTTCATGGCTAGAGAATCATATTACTGATCACAATGCATTGTGGTCTATTTCGGTAGATTGAACGTTTTAGCTGGGGACGGGAAAGTTGGAAGATTGTATGCTCGCAGCCAGAAATAGCAAGAGTGTTGACATCCGATAAAATCGGACCTGATGATTACACATTTGTTTCATCACAATTAGTTTAATGAGATTTTATTTCCAAAGCTTCCAATTATTCATGTAATAATTTCGAAATAGTTCATGTAATATTAGTATATTCAATTATTTTTACCATGGAAAGTTAAAAATGGCCAGTTGGCCATCCCAGATGTAAACCTTCAAGTTCAACTTCACAGAAAGTTTCTTAATCCTAATATGGTTTTTTCTCTTGTCGATTTTGGTAAATTATGAACGGTTCTACCTTTTAAATATTGTTCACATACCAGCCCAGTCAACTGTTAGTAAATTCACAAAACTTGCGAGCTCAACACTCCAGATATTGGCGTAATTGACGTTAAAAGTATCGGCAAGCTGAGTCTGAAATAATAACAAAATGTCAGTATATGGGTGAATAGCAAGAAACCATTCGAGGATTATTACTCTTTTGAAATAGCCAATGCCAATAAAGGTTTCAAAAAACCTCTAGTAAATTGTGTTGCACATGTATAGTGATTCCGCATAATTGCTTCCTATTTATCTTAATTTCATCCTATTGTTAGTCGCTTTTGTCTTGTTGTGTAACAAATATGTATACGTATAATAAGGATCAGTTAAATTAATTTCTTTATTTCAGCACGCCTTATTTACTTTTCCGATATTACCGAATTTTAAATTTCGTTGTGCACCGATGTGGTGAATATCATGTACAGTACAATCCCTGCATGCAGTCTCTCTGGCACATAAAAAGTTGCACCCTCTAAACAGATCTGGTGAATCCGACTTGGCGGACTTGCAGCTCTGCATTGCATTTTGCCGTACTCGCAGGGTCCCTAGAAGTTTTTTATTCCTCACTTTTTATGAATTACCTTATTCTTTTGCCTTTGAACGTCAGAAATAAGCTGAAGAAGAACTCCGACAAACTTCATAACGTGGAGATTTCCACTCGTTTCGTAAATTACCCGTCTTTAAGAAAGGAATGGTAAAAATATGTCAACTAATGCCTTTATGCTAGTTTTTGCCGGCTAAATAATACTTTCTTAAAATAGTTATATGTATACATGTTACTAAAGTGGAACAAGTTTAAACCACATTTACGTCGTGATTATAAGGCCACATAAAAAATAGTTGGTTAGCGTCGTTAGCTTTTGCCAAAAAGGGGGCGGGCGGGCGGTTTTTTTTTAAATTTTTACTAATTTTTAACGCCTTGGTTTTAGGTCTGAAACTGGATTCCCTTGCGCAATACTACATATACTTCTTGAACTTTTTTATATATTTCAGAATATGATTCATACCTCATTCTAGAAGTTAATATCTTGCATTTAAACACAATTGACTACAGAAATACTACATATTATATTAAAGCATGTTGGTCAATAAAAGTTGGGTTTTTTAAATAAAAAATAATAAAAAATAAAAAGAAATCCTGAGCGGGACCTTTTTTGTGGGCGGGCGAGGACGCTAACCAACTATTTGTTTTGTGGCCTAACGACTATTCATATACAGTATAACTCAGGGCTCGAATTTTATCGCGGCAATTGCCGTAGAGGGAGAACAAAATGCCGTGGATCATTGCGGCAACGACGGCAATTTTTTGCCGTATATACTGCAAATTTTATACTATATTCACTGCATGTGCATTACTATTTTGATACTTGAATTCAGATGTTCAGTGATCAATCTCAGTTTTCTTCGAAAAAAACACTAAAGAAATACGTATAGACATGTTTCTAGCTTGTCAAAAATGCAAAGTAACAATAAAATTAAAGTTTTATTACAGTAATTTGAAAAATGCCGTGGAAACTGTCAAAATTGCCGTAGACAGCTGTTACGTTCTACGGCAATTTTTAACGTCATTGCCGTCGATTGATTTCAGGGAAATTCAAGGCCTGGTATAACTGCATAAATTGAATTGCAAAGTATATACTTACTGTATTACTTCATATGTAATGGAAAATAGGGACGTGTTTTCGCTTAATGCTTTTGGCTGAAATGGAGAACGAATTTCATCACCAAATGCTTATTTACACATGGATATACTAGTTACTATTATGTGTATTTTCTGGACGTGCACAGGAGTGGGGGCTAAAATGTCAGCATTACAAATTTGAATGATTTAATGCATTTACGACGGTGGTGGTGGAGAGGTCCATGCATGCACTCCAATGAAGAACCTGCACCTCCACTATCAGATGTACCTCGCGTATCCGCCCTGATATTGACTAACAAAAATAGATGTGTTGAAAAGAAAATCCTCACCAATTCTCTTAAAGAGATCATCGCCTTCATTTCTTTGCGCGACATGTATTTTCGTTCAAAACAACAAATTTCCAGAAGAGAAATAATCTTGAAAAACAAAAATGTCATACTTATAAATTGTAAACGAACCAAACGAGACATGAAGAACGGTCAACGTGATACCTCGTCTTCAAAGTATATGTGATCCTGCATCCATAAATTGACTCTTGCATCATGGGAGAGTGCTTGGACACCTATAGGTTATTAGTGAACATGCATGAAGTAAAGATTGCACTGTAAACGTTTTGTATGTAACATGCATTAACCAATTAAATTTTGACTTAATTTGTATTTCTGAAAAACAACTTCTTTCGATATGTTACTGGGCACTTATTACATCAAGACGTTTAGTAATACTACTAAAATTACGCTTGAGAATTTTATCGCAGATTTTATCACGCTAATTTACTCTCGTCAACTCTGGACATCTGAATGGAATCGTTTAGAACAATGAAATGCATTATTGCAGAAGATGTTATTAATTTATGAGAACCACAGACCCTACTTATACTAGTGTCTGAACAAGTACCACATACTTTGATAATTATTGATTATTCAATACATTATAAACTATGTAATATGCTCATAACATTAGGCCAATCTCTGACGCTAATCGCTAATGCTAGGTGTTGACAGCACTTTCCTTGCGATAGTAACTTCTAGTGATCGACCATGGGTTAATAGCAATCTGAAATCACTGATAAATCGTCGACAAAAAGCCTTTGCATCTGGTAATGTCACTCTTTTTAAAATGTTACGTAATAAAGTTAATCGTGAACGAAAACGTTGTCGTAAGAGCTATTATCAATCTAAAGTTCATAATTTACGTAACACCAACCCCCGAGATTGGTGGCGGGAAGTGAAGCAGTTGTGTGGCACATCTAAACTAAACAACAAAAGTGTAAAAGACCGCCTCCATCAAGATTTATGGCAGGAGACAGACATAAACCTCAGTAATAAAATTAACAATGTTTTTATAAATGTGATACAGAACTATGTTCCATTATCTGAAGATACGGCTGTAATTGTACACAACGATGAAACGCCTATTATTGTGACCGAGTCAACTATAGCTAGAAAATTGCAAGAAATTAATACATCGCGTTCCAGTGGCCCTGACGGTATTTCCAATTGGGTTTTAAAAACCTATTCGGATATTCTCGCCTCACCAGTTGCAAATATAATCAATTCTTCCTTTCAAAGCTGTAAAGTCCCTCAAATTTGGAAGCTGGCCGATGTGGTCCCCTTACCAAAAACATCTACTGTCAAAGACTTGGAAAGGGAATTACGACCTATTTCCTTAACTTCCACTCTATCAAAGATAGCGGAACGTCTTGTAATCGAAAGAGAAGTAAAACCAACTCTGTTAAAGGTTGTTGATCCCCAACAATTTGGCTTTATTCCAAATTCTTCCACTGTACTTGCCTTGATATCGATGCTCCATTGTTGGTTGAGTGCAACAGATGGAAGTGGTTCATCTGTTCGCACTGTATTTCTTGACTATAAAAAAGCATTTGACATGGTGGATCACACCACATTAGTTGCGAAATTATTCAGCCTTGGTATTAAGCCCTGTGTGGTTAACTGGATTATTGACTTTTTACGTAATAGATGGCAAAGGGTCAAACTAAGTGATAATTGTTTCTCAGACTGGCTCCAAGTTCCAGCTGGTGTCCCTCAAGGCACACGACTTGGGCCTTGGCTATTCTTAGCCATGATAAATGACCTTGTGTTACATAATCACCTTTCAGAAATGTGGAAATTTGCCGACGATACTACGGTCTCTGAAATTGTTGAAAAAAACGAACAAAGTACTTTACAAATGGATATCGATGATATTACTACTTGGTCTATGGACAATTCCTTTCAACTAAACCCATTTAAATGCAAAGAAATGGTAATATCCTTTTCACGATTACCACCTGTTTTTGAACCTATACGTATTGGTGACCGAAATTTGGAAAGAGTGACAAGTATCAAATCGCTTGGAGTTATATTAAGAAATGACCTTAAATGGATAGACCATGTAAATTCAATTGTCTCCAAAGCAGCTAAACGTTTATATTTGTTGAGGCAACTCAAACGTGCTGATGTCGCTTTGGCAGATTTGGTCAAATTTTTTTGCAGCTGTATAAGGTCTGTCCTCGAATATGCGTGCCAATTATTCCATAGTTCCCTGCCACGAAATCTTGCAAAAAACATTGAACGTATACAGAAGCGAGCAATGAAAATAATATTCTATGAATTGTCTTACGACGCGGCTCTTAACATCGCTGGTATTTCCACTCTTGAAAACAGACGGGAGTATCTATCCAATAATCTCTTCAACGACATTGTTTTAAATGATGATCATAAACTTGCCAAACTTTTACCATCCAAAGCAGGCAATAGAGAATTACGAAAAGAAAGATCCTTTGAAGTTTCACCAGCAAGTACAAATCGTTTCGGAAACTCTTTTATCAACTTTTATGCTAAGAAACATTACAAATTAGATGTTCCTTGAACATTTTAGAATTTTTAACTCATATAGATTAGTACATTTAAGTATATGATATATAGTATATATTAACAATTTTTAAATTGCATTGTAATATAGAATTTTTTACTATTTATAACCTTGTAACACTTAACGTCATGTAATTCAGTCTTCTGACTGCCAGATGATGTTTTTATTAAACAAACTATTCAATTAGTAATTCTACGAGTGTCTTCATTGAGATCATGATCAGCCTTTCGTATTTCATAAGATCAGTGACACAGTGACAGATCGATATTAATAATAAGTACAAGAAACATTTATAAAGTTACCTTGTGATAAAGACAAATAACAGTCTCTAGGATTGTCCTTCAATGCATTTAAGAAGTGCGGAGAGAGGGCTTTCTCAGGGATGACATCTGTTGAGTTAGAATTGCTGACGAACAGAATAAATGATAACATTGATTGATAAAAGGTATTTCTAATGAAGGGTTCTTAATTGTGCAAAAGTCCTGCATATATTAAACGATACCTAAATCTGTAAAACGGCTAATTACACCCACTTATTAATTACACCCATTGCGATTCCGCCCATTAATTAACATTGTTTTTTTTGTACATTCACATATTGGGCCACCAGAAGATTTACATATTCAATTATTCCGAATATTTTTTGCACAACCTCGCTCCTTAGCCTCGTTCATGCAAACAGCGATACATAATCAATGCAAGAATTGCACCTCTTATCCAATCAGAAAACACTAATTTTGCAACGATAAAAGAATAACCGTAATAAGTAGTACCTGTCAGTTATAATATCATTTGTTTTCTCACAACATAGAAGTGCCTCGATCTGTAATGAAAACTCAATCCAATGTTTTCTTCCAAACGAATGAATTTATGAAGAATGGTATAAAATTTACCATGTATTTATATTAAACTTATATTTGAAGAAAAATTAGCAGTCGTCTACAGACTAAATTAGCCTTGAATATAGAATCTTTTGATAGGATACCCATAGCGTAACCCATGCAAGAATTGGAAAGTCGGCAGTATCTCACAATACATGTGCATAAATACCCGTCCTGATTTCTTATTAAGGTCATCTGAACAACATTGGCGCTCAATTGTTAAATCGCCATAATTTTTTTGCCAAAGTTTGATTTTGTCAAATAACAACAACATTCATGCAGTTCTTTAATTAAGTTCATTTTAGGCAAACATGCAGGATTAAATTTGTTGACTTTCTATCCAAAGTTCTCCTGCGGCTTGTGTGTTCTCCTGAGGGTTGTGTGATCACACTGGTTGTGTGATCCAAATACTTGGACATTACCAACAGTAACTGTGTGGAGTGTCGTGAAAAATATCAAAAGGCTGTAGAATGCACTGTTGTATCATCCAGAAATCATATGTTTTTAATTTTAGTAGTAGCATATAGGTGTCTGTATACCAACATTCCTGTATACATGCTTCGGTTCTGCACTTACTAGTGGGCGAATAACTGGTTTTAATAGGATTGGCAAACACATCTCTGATATGTTTCTGAGAGTAGTTCCTTCGATTGGGTATCTTGGAATGAATTGTCTAAAAAAACGGATACAATAAAAATAACACTTCTATAACGTATGTTGCCAACTTAATTCGCCCCTCCTTCCCTCCCCCCCCCATATTTCGCGAAGTGTCCGCCACTGTTAGAGACAAATTGCTAGTTATATTAATATTTATATTGATAGTATCATACTATTTCAAAACGGAAAATGACAAAATGTGTATCTATACTTTACCGATGTAAATCACTCCATTCACGACAGCTTGCAGTACTGCTAAGATCACCAACTAAGGAACTAACCAACTGTAATATAACAGTGATATAATAGTAGTATGTCACAAAAGATATATGTCAAAAATGCTAGATGTGTGCACTGAGCCACTTCGCACTATCGTGCAGCCGATTATGGGAATGGGAAAATAACTATGATAACCATTTTCATAATATATAGTAGTCTTGTGTTTGGAGCCAATTTCAGGCAAATACCGTAGATAGGTTTCGTACTCGCATGGGCGTGTCGCCTAGGGATGAGGCGAGAACTCGTTGTGGGTCCCAAAACTCTAAATTGAAACGCATCGGATTGGTTAATGGTCACTTAATGGTAACGGCAGTAGAAGTAAAATCTGAACCTCTTTAATACGACGATAACAGTACAAGGCATAAAAAAGCTTACAATAAAAATACAGCACGTTAATAGTGGTCAACGGCAAACATTACCTCGTTATTAAACTGTTGTGCAATGCCAACTGGTTGCAAACCAAACTGTTCTGCTAAGCTGACAGAAGAGCTGACTATACCAGGATAGGATGAGCACACAGTTTTAATCTGCGACTACAAAGAGAACGAATTCTTCATTTGCATGAAAATCTTCATTTAACTATATTTTTATATACTGTATACTACTTGTTAATGATCCCAAATGATCTTCACTTTTTGGCTTCTGCAACCATACAATATTGGGATCTCGGAAAAGACTGAAAACAAAGGCGGGAAAACGAAAACTGCTATTATTATAGTTAATATTTTGTATATTTCCAAGTGAAAGCTTACTCAATACCTTCACCCATTTAATTGATTTTTCATTTATTCCATCCCTGTGTTGCTGAGAGGAAACAGCTACAGCAGTAACACAGTGCAAGACGAGACGGTAAAGATCCTCTATATCAAGTACACAAAACTGAGGTATATATATATCACAATTATTGACATGATATAAGATAACCGTAAAACAATCCATGATAAAGTTATTGTACTACCAAGGGTGTGATGTTTTTTTACATCGGTATAGCTCGTTAGATCTTACAAATCATATGGGGAGAGGAGATTCTGAATACTGGGGTGTACAAACTCGCTATCACAGTGATGATGCCCCATGCACTACCATAAATTCCTTAAAATAGGTTAATTTGCTTACACGTGATAAGAACATTAATAAGGGTACGATTCCGGCACTAGTTTAAACAGGTGAGCATATGTTAGCGTAGAAAGATCTTCAGAATAGGTGAAGTGAATGTTGGACGTATATAGGTTTCAGCCTCTTATGCAGTTTCAAATTTCAGTAAGATACTTATTACTCCAGTAATATATTAATAACGCTCAGTAATAACGCTCACTAGTTGAAACCCACTTGCGCAGTGCGCTAAAGAGAAAACGTACCAAACAATTCAGTGCTGTAACAGTTACAGTTTATTTGTAACTAGTTACAGTTATAGTTACATTGCCAAAAACATAACTAGTTACCGATACAAGTTACAGACGCCAAAGTGTAACTAGTTACAGTTACAAAGTTACAATATATTTTTTGTAACTTAGTTACAAAGTTACAAGTTACATTTATTGATTGCAATTAAGAGGGTGGGAAAGGGTGGGTATGGATCACGTTTCACAACGAAAAAAAAAAGCCGTTTCAAGATTCACGTGTCTTAAAAAAGCAATTTCACGGAAATCTAGATTCTCATAAAATAATATAATAATAATACGTTTATTAAGACTATGTTAATGCCTGGTACAGTATCTACGCTTTAAGTTCTCTCATTTCTCTACCTGTCAGTTAAAAACTACATCATAACTTACAAGTTTGAGTGACGAGAATATACGACGACCTCCGCGCGTGTCCTCAGCGCCAAGAACCTCGTTCTCAGCGCCAGGAACCTCGTCCTCAGCGCCAGGATCCTTGTTCTCAGCGTCAGGAACCTCGCGAAAGGCCTCCGAAGTTTTTACTCTTGTGCAATCGAGTGAGATCATATAAATTTGATTATCGCGTATCATGTTTATTATAATAATCACTATAATAATCACAGTTTACTAAACAGGCATCCTTAATTCTCATTTCACGGAGCATTTTTATCAACAATCACGCCTCACGGCTGTAGAACAAATCACATTTCACGACACTAAAATCAAGCATTTCACGCGAACAAATATTGACCATTCACGGCTCACGAAAATAGCTGAAAATACCCTTTCCCACCCTCAATTAAGAACGCACACAATTCGAATGGGCCGAATGGTAAAACTTGCGGCAAAATTATTGGCAAAATTAATAACTATTTACTAGATGTGTCTGCATGCATCTGTAAAATTCCACCAAATCGATTTTTTAATAGAATTGTCAATTAAAAAAACTCTGGTATTATGCAGTCTGAACGAATGGATTGGAAAAAAATATACCTCACTGGCTAGTGGCGTCTGACTTCGCAATGAAAAAGCAGAAACGTGAATACGTGATCATGACTGGGCCAAGGCCAAGTGAAATGAGGCCAAAGACCAGTTATGACGAGGCCAATTAAGGCCCTATAGTGAAGGCGAGCGATCATTCAAGCGAGCGAGCCAGGGGCCGCGGAACCGGGGGGGCAATGGGGGCATGTGCCCCCCCCCACTTTTCTTAAAAGTGAAAAAAGTGCCCTTTTTTCTGGGCTAAAATGCCCCATTTAAAAAACGAAAAAAGTATTTCTTGAATAAACGCCCTCTTTTTCTGGAAAGAAAATGCCCTTTTCGCAGTAGTAAAGACTCTGTAAAGGCCATTTCCGACGTTAGAGAGACTCCATATTTTCAAAACTTTTCGTTCGGCTCGTGAACATCATAAAATCGTTTGATTCTGGTCATATACAAAAGTGCCCCTTTCGGTCAATGCCCCTCCACTTTCGAAATGCTTCCGCGGCCTCTGGAGCGAGCAATCATTCCGATCAGTTCCAACTGTACGTAAATTTGACGTCAATCGTTGACTTAAATTTGTGTCTTGAACGGATTCTGTTGTGTCAGATTAAATTATTCCTGTGCAGATGATTAAGAGCTTGCCTGACTGTGTATTGATTTACTTCATTTTAAAAACGTACACAAATAGCAATGAACAAAATGTAACTTGTAACTTTGGCAAAATAACTTGTAATCGTTTCAATTTTATGGCATTTTTTGTAACTAGTTACCGTTACAGTTACATGTTCTCAAAATGTAACAAGTTACCGTTACCGTTACTGAAAAATGTAACGATTACTTGTAATTAGTTACTTTTAACGAAGTTACTTACAGCACTGCCAAACATGTACCAAACGTACCAAAACGTACCAGGAAAATATAATGATGCGAAATATAAACTGCTTTATTTACCTGTAGTTTGTACCATGATATTGTTAAGTAAACTATGAAGAAGTTTGGGAACACTTGGAAACTGACTAAGAATCTCTCTTGACTCCTAAATAATGATAAAGTAAGTTGAACGTGTAATAAGAAGAGTTGTAATATCATTGGAAACTTGTAGTTTCTCATTTTGCACACACGCAGGTACGAGGAACATGTAGGGCGCTAGCGGTAAGGGCGCGATAGCTCCGGTGGCACGCGTATAGCCCTCTTTCCACTTCGGCGACGTAATGTGTTTTGTTTTGTTTTGTGTGGATATCATATACTGCTTTAAAAACTACGCAATGTTTCAGTACGATATGGTTGAAACAGAAAACAAGCACGAAAAACGTACAGAGCTAGTTACGCATACGGAGCCGTAGATTTGAACTTCGTGGTTTTATACTATTTACCCTATTCATAGGAGTTAGATAGATAGATAGAAACTTTATTTATACACGCTGACCCCGTCAACCGAAGCTGATTTCCACGGGGGGCGTGTGCAAAAATAGAAAAATGTTACATGGAGATATTAAAATACTTAAGTTTAAAAAGGTAGAATATTAAATTATTTACATGATAAGAAGGTTATTAGAATATTTACAGTTACATCAATTTACTCTATGTCAATTTTGTGAGCAGCGATTTTATTTCTAAAGGTTGAAAGAGTTTTTCTTTCCCTAATTTCCTTTGGAATAGAATTCCAAAGGTGTGCTCCGTCATACATGAAACATTTTTCATGTTGTTAGTACGCGGTTTTGGTAAACTAAGACCGCTTGAAATGTCACGAAGGTTGTAGTTTGTTTTCTCACATTTGTATGAAAAAAGATTGGTGAGTGATTTAGGACCCATTTTATTTAATACTTTGTACATCATTTTTGCCTTAGCTTTCTTCCTTTCAGTTTTGAGTGGCTCCCAGCCCAATGCACGTAGAGCAATGGAATGATTTACGTCATTACTCATGTTCAAGATAATTCTAGCAGCTCTATTTTGAAGTTTTTGGAGTCGTTTTAATTGTGATTCACCAAACACATCCCATACTTCACAACAGTAATCAAAGTATGGGCGAACAATAGCATTATATATCGAAATGAGTGTATCTTTGTCAACGAAAGGTTTGACTCGACGAATAGCAGAGATTCCTGCAGTTATTTTTTTTGCAAATATTTTCGGAATTAGTTTTCCAAGACAAATGCTGGTCAACTATTACTCCAAGAGTTTTGCATTCGCTAACTTGTTTAATTTGCTTATTTTCAATGAAAACATTTAAACGTGAATCAGAATTTTTTTTAATCATTGCCTTTGAACCAATTAACATAAATTCTGTCTTAGCTACATTTAGACTAAGTTTATTGGCAATTAACCATTTTCTGAGGAGTCCACAGGAATCTAACGGAATTATAGAGGTCAATTTCACTGAATTTTGTAGATGGACATTTCGAGTACTAAATAAAGCCTACAATTTCTCGTTCAAAAAATATTTTCCAGAGTGCAGTAGCAGCCCCCGCAACGCGGCACAGTGAGCTCACTGCACGACTCACAGATAATTTTTAGTATCACTTTAACGGCTTGGTTACCAAGCGCCGATCTATATATTTCACTCCCTGTTAATGCATCAGGCGGAAGCATCATATAAAGGTTTACGGTATAAAATAGGTAATAGACGTTACCGATTATTCTCTTTTACCCAATGGGACATGATAAAAGAAGAAAAGGATTTAAGAGCGAGATATTGAAAATTAGTAGGAAGGAAACCCTGTACGCGTTTCGACCTAACAGTCTTCTTCAGCAGGGGCTGGTTGTTCAAAGCTAGGTTAGCTTAAGCCTGGTTAATAACCTAAAATTCAAAGCAAACTTCCTGACAGCTTGTCTATAAATTTGGAAATATTTCTTCAGAGATCTTGTCTGGATCGATAGGAATTTACTTCTCTGAAGTTTTGAAATAAACAGACGTGCAGAAATACTCAAACTAAAACAACAGGTTAAATTTTAACCCAGGGTTAGCGCTAACCCACCTTTCAACAACCAGCCCTAGGGGTTTTAGAGGGAGTGTAGATAGAGGTTTATACAGAAGAGAATCAGGAAGGAGAGTTTCGGAGGTAGAAAAATAATGCCGAACTAAGAGAGTAACAGATACTACGTAAGTTATTGATAAATAATAAATCCTGTTGTCTTGTATTTGCAGTAAACCACTTCCGAATCGTTTAACAGACAGCAAAACTTGAAGTTAGAATACTATTAGCAAAGCAAAAAACGGACGAAGGTTCGAAACGTCGAAGTTCTCTTTGTAACAGTTCAGGTAATCCCTATTTATTATTGGCACTATACCTACACTGGCACAGACCGTTCAAGTCAATATTTGAAGATTGAGCTATGAAACGTTTAATAAGGAGTGAAATTTTAATATTTCGTGCGGGAATGCAAATTTCGTACTCGCAGTCGCTGTGCGGGATTAGGATAAAACGCGGATACGGACGGACGGATGGATGGCGAACGGACGACTTATGTTCTCGCTAAATGTCATTGGATGATTCCAGCTACAGACTAAATTTTGATCTCGGCTAGAAGAAAAAAATCCATCAACACAGCTAGAAAGAGCATGTTAAAATTACTAAAATCGCAAAGTTTGGTTGCGAAATGTTGTAAATATAGCCCTACGAAATTTGCAAACCTTGACCTTGTATTAATTTGTATTACGCACGGGAATTTGCACCACTTTCGCCCCAAATGTGGTGCATTTTCAAAAATAAATCATATTACCACTACGCAACATCAACCGTGTTTGACCAGGAAAATCCGCAGACGTGGAAATAAGTTTGTCTGAAGTGCCATAAAGCCAGGCAGCTTACTGCAACAATGAAATGTTGTTCTTAATTGAACTAGTTATTTTGGCAAATATAATGTAGAGTTGGGTTTTTCGCCATTTTCGTCTTATTTTATCGACGGATACGGAATCTATATATATATTCTCGCACTTATTCTGTTTCACAATTTTGTCATTTTGTTTTTCCAAAATTTTATGCTCTCTCTCTCTACTTCGGATAAAAAGGATTATACTACATTCTTGTTTGATATTTAAATTATAAGTTGTGAAGTTTTGTATAATGATCTTTTGTAACAGGTCACTAACGTAACTGGCTCACGCTGTGCTGTGTTAGTGTTCCTGAACCGTCTTCCTGTTTGTATATGTTTATATTTCTGTTGACGGCTGAAGTCAAAATAAACGCGGATGACATTTAGCGAGAATAGAAGTCATCCGTCCGTCCGTATCCGCGTTTTATCCTAGCCCAGTCTCTCCCAAAACTCCCTAATGCCAGCGCGCTGTGTTTTGTTATACCCTCCTAATGCCAACGCCACTGTCATTCCGCTGATTCGTGACAGACCGCGCGGTGACGGCGTATAAGGGGACTGAAACTGACGTACTATATGGCGTGGAAGGCCGGCGCCACTGCTCACGCCCTGTGTCACGCGTTGCTCACGCGAGGCTTCACTTTTTTTACTGCATTTTGTGAGGTAAGTAACATTGACGATGAATTAGAACATTTAAGAAATGTTCTAAAAATGAATGGTTATATCACAAAGTGTACAGCAGAAGATTGAATATCAGTCCTCTGTTTGTCTACAATACATTGGTCCGGCTTCACACAAAATCGAGAGGATTTTGAAGAAAGAAGCAGGTATAAAGGTATACCATTCCAGTGAAAACAAATTGTTTCCAGCTCTTTGCACACATAAGGACCGCACCGCATTTCTTGTGAATGTGGTCTGGTTTACATTGGTGAAACTGGTCGAAATCTCTCAATACGTCTTAAGTAACATAAGACGAATTGCGAGAAAGCCGAGCAAGATACATGTAAATCTGCTGTGGCTAAACATACTTGGACTTACGACCATCGTATAAATTGGGACAAAGCAACCATTTTGGCGATTTATAGTTATAAGTTCTCTCACAAAATGGGGAGAGTCAATGGAAATCGAGAAGCACAAAACTATAGATGAGATCAGGAGGGAAAGCCACTAGATAGTACGTGACATGCTCTCTTTAATGTGCAAAATTAATTTCTCTTGTCTCTTGTTAATTAGAATCACTTCACCACGTTTGAAATGGCGTGGTTGACGTAACCGTTTAATTAATAGCGAACTTAAGCATGTAGGACGGCAACACGACGGCGACGGCAACCAATACAATGAGTCAATGAAAAGATGTAAATAATTAAAGTCCCAGGGGAGTTTCAAACGTATATACAGGGTGTCTCAAAAAAACCCAAAATCATTGAAATAACGTATTGTTCGAATTTCAATGCCGTAACACAAAGGATTTTGACAGGGTGATTAATTTGTTTTAAAAAATTAAAATATCTTTGTAAAGTGAACGTTTGTTTGCTCATGGGAATTTAAAAATGCTTCGTAAATTGTAATATGCGTAATATGCATTCGTGGGTTTAGTACTTTATACCTGACATAACAAGTTTACGCTGAGTATTACCATTCATTATAGCAGTTATGTCAATCTTTTACGCACTCGTGGGATTAACTTAGTGCTAGGGCATTGAATATCGAACAATACGTCAATTTCAATGATTTTGGGTTTTTTTGAGACACCCTGTACAGGGTGTCTCAAAAAAACCCAAAAATATTGAAATAACGTATTGTTCGAATTTCAATGCCGTAACACAAAGGATTTTGACAGGGTGATTAATTTGTTTTAAAAAATTAAAATATCTTTGTAAAGTGAACGTTTGTTTGCTCATGGGAATTTAAAAATGCTTCGTAAATTGTAATATGCGTAATATGCATTCGTGGGTTTAGTACTTTATGCCTGACATAACAAGTTTACGCTGAGTAATACCATTCATTATAGCAGTTATGTCAATCTTTTATGCACTCGTGGGATTAACTTAGTGCTAGGGCATTGAATATCGAACAATACGTCAATTTCAATGATTTTGGGCTTTTTTGAGACACCCTGTATAGCCATAGTTAATGGAGGGGATGGTTTGGAAACTCGTTAGCATTACAATAAAATCACAATAAACCTCATTATCTATGTTGTTCAGGTTTATGCAAAAAATGTGGTCTTTCATCGTCACGTGCGTATTGTATTTTCTCAAGTCAACCAATAGGAATGTTCAAAATGTCCTATTGTTAAAGTCATGGATGGGCAATTGGACAAAACTGTTGCTATTGGCTGGTTGAGCAAAAATACAATACGCACGTGACGATGAAAGACTACATTTTTGCATAAACCTGAACAAAAACATAGATAATGAGGTTTATTGTAATGCTAACGAGTTTCCAAACCATCTCCTCCATTAACTATGGTATAGCCTAGTCGCCGCTCTGTTTACAACGGCAAATCACAGATTTTCACGTCTTTTATACAACGCCTGCATTTCAAGCCGTCACAAGTGCAACTTGAAATTCGGTTCGGTAGAACTCTTCCCAAACATAAAACCAATGTTTTTAACTTCTTATACTGTATTAAATTCATACGAATTATAATATACGACAAGTTTTCTTTACTATCATTTATTTGAAGGAATTTGTTTTGGCCGTCGTCGCTGCGTTGCCGTCCTGCATGCTTAAGCTCGCTATTAACTTTCAAATGACGCGTGCCATCAGATCACGACACTTTTGGTATATAAAATGGGCGTGTGAATTGAACATATTATTATTAGCACTGTTGAAGATCTGGGCTTACGGATCGAAAGCTTTGCCCTGTTTGGCAGTAATAAATTTACGTGGTGTTTCGATCCACAAACAAAAAGCATTATAAATAGATTGAGTTCACTGCAATCCTGATATGCAATACAAATATTTTTTCCAAGATCGTGGTTACCACTTGCTGTCAATTTCTGTCAATCCAGTGAATTAAATAGATCAGTGCTTGGTAACCAAGCCTTAAAGTGACCCAAAAAATTTTCTGCGCGCGGCATGGTCAAATCTGGCGGGAAAAATTTGCACGCGAAACGATAACAAAACTCAGCAAGGAGTCCAGAACTTGAAAATTGAAATGAAACATGGAACCACAACGATTAAGAACTTTGTTAATTTGCTCCGCTATTTGTTTATTGATGGGAGAAACAATGACTATGTGTGCCATGCTGATGCAACTACTTGTTCTGAAACGACATCATCATTCACAAATGATAGAAAATATGCTTCAACTTGACTTAAAAATTGCTGAAATACGACTACTACAGCGCCAGCAGAAAATATTAAAGAAAAAGATACAGCGAAAAATGCGAAAGAAGGTGCAGAAAAAAGTGAGGAAATTGTGGAGTAAATACATGAACAAATTGGATAGCTTGTAAATACAGTATGTCATTTACAAATTACGTAAAAAGTTCTTGGAGTTTTTCAAAGCAAGCATTTGTTGTTGTTGTTGTTGTTGTTGTTGTTGTTGTTGTTGTCATTGACATTTTTACCAGGGAATTCACGTTGTGTACTGTCTATTGATTCTGGAAAGAACTACTAGATAAATTGGACAATAGAGTCAAGACCTATAAAGACAACTAGACAAGTGTTCTTATTATATAGTATCAAAATTATATAGTATCAATTACAGTATCAATATTTTAATACACTCCTGTCGGCCATGGTCAGTGGCGGCGCCAGGCTTCCAAATTTGGGGGGGCATTTGAGGGGCAAACTCAAATTTGGGGGGGGCAAGATAGAATTTTTAAAAAGGTTGCCCCCCCCCCCAGGAGATTCGCCCCCCCCCCTCAAAACGTGGCGATATTCCTAGGAATGTCGCCCCCGGGGCGAATATCCTAGGAATATCGCCTCCCAGGGGGGTGGGGCAAATACCCTAGGAATATCGCCCCTCTTTAGGACATTCGCCCCCCATATATATGCGATTTATTGTGTTTTTAATGTGGTTTATTCAAATAATTTTGTGATACTTTCATCTTATTAGTGCCTTACACGTTTGAGAATTTAACTCTGCAAAACTAAAGCTTTTCTGTCTTTTTTTGAAATTTATTATTGGAGTATTGGCAAGTTTTACCATTCAGAGATTTACAAACTAATATTGAAACTGTAAAAAAACCAGTTTCATGTATATGCGCATTCACTAATGAGTAATGACAACTTATAAGCCATACAATTTCCGATAACGACAAAACGCTTGTGTAGCCTTTAGTCGCTCAACGCCAGTTGCCCACAGTGTCGGTATATGGCACAGGCCCCGTGCGGCCGTGCTTACTCTTTTCGATTTTTTTGTACCCTGTTTCAGTACATAAATCCATAATGCACAGCAGGTACATATTTTTAGGTTAATACTTGTTTTAATATAGATAAACTCGAGTTGTATAAATTAAGTGACACAATGAGTAGCAGCAATATCATGACATGCTGACAGCTACATATTGCATTTATATATAATATATTGCAATATATTATTTTTTTAAATAATATATTACAATATATTATATATAAATGCAATATGTAGCTGTCAGCATGTCATGATATTGCTGCTACTCATTGTGTCACTTAATTTATACAACTCGAGTTTATCTATTGGTCCAGTGTCAACTGATGGCGGGGTAAAATATTAGGGGTAAAATGTCAAGGGTAAAATGTTGAGGGTCAAAAAGTCACAAGAAAGCTATATTAAGGCCAGGAAACCACTTTGGATAAAGAAATAAAATATTTACATAATCATTTTGTTATATGAGCACTTTTAAACCAATTAATTCATTATTTCAAATTATTGAATATGTATATTTCTTTTTTTTGCAAATACACAGGCAACTTTTCAATGCATGGAATACAAAAGGATATTATATTTTTATATATTTTTAATCTTTCTGAATTCAGTGTTTAAGGGGCTCATTAACGCCCAAGCTGTTACAATGTTTCTACCCCCCTAACGTCCAAGCAATATGGCGAATACGTGACTGAATTCAAGAGCTTTCACCAAAATGGCAATATCTCAGAAACAGTTGCATGAAAAAATCTGGTCTTTTCAACCAAATAT